ATATACGCAGTTGCTCCGCGAAATACGGGACTATGCTACCACTGTGGCCGGCCGGGTCACATCCGACGCAACTGCCCAGAAATCGTAGCCACTTAGAATTCTCTGGGGAAAAAAGTCGGAGGAGCGACCGGGTAATGGGTCGCGTCAGTAAGTACCGGGCCCCTTACTGACGGGCAGGCTTCTTCGCCTGAACCACACAGTCCCTACCGGGTCGTGATCCCGATTGCTGCAATCGACCGGACCCGGACAAATAAGGCGGACGAAACTGCTGATCACCCTGTGTTGGTGGAGGGTAAAGTCAACGGGGTGTTGCTGAAAATATTCGTGGATGGAGGCGCGAGTCGCAGTCTCATACAGCTAGACTGGGCTAAAAATTGGGTATTCCCCTACTTAAGTGTCTACCCGAAATTGACGCCCGCCTAGTGGATGGAACACCGCTGGCCATATGGGAACGATTGGAGAACGTCGGTTTCCACTGCGGGGAGCACGTAAAATTTCGGATGGGGCTGCTGGCGACTACACTCGGCGGATGCGATGTACTGCTGGGAAGAGATTGGCTGCGACAGTACAACCCGAAGATTGACTGGACGACGGGCGGCTGCAGCATCAAACTCGACGGGATTCATCGCACACTTTCAAAATGGACGGGGCCTCGCATGCGAAGCACCCAAGTCCATGCGATAACTTTCAAACGGGCGATAAAAGCGGGAGCCGCAGCGTACGCCGTCGATCTTCACGAGGTGACGTCGCCGACAACAGCCGAAGATATCGCGAAGCTGTGCGATGCCGTTCCTCCGGATTTAGCGGACCTGATTCGGAAGTACCCCGAGATTTTCCCCGACAACATGCCCGCTTGATTACCGCCGAGCTGACCAGAAGACCATCGCATCGAGCTGGAACCAGGTGCCCAACCGACAGTACAGCGACAATTTCGGCTCAACCAACCGGAACTGGAAGAACTGCAGCAGCAACTGGAATGTCTTCTCACGAAGGGGTTTATCCAACCCAGCACGTCCCCATACGCCGCCCCGATCCTGTTCACCCGAAAAAAAGATGGAGGATTCCGCATGTGCATCGACTACCGCGCCCTCAACCGGATCACAATCAAGTCCCGTTACCCGATCCCGCGAGCTCACAATCTACTCGACCAACTTCGCGGAGCCAAGTTCTTCTCGAAAATCGATTTGCGAGGAGGTTACCATCAAATTTGCATCGTCGCCGAAGATTGTCACAAAACCGCCTTCCAAACCCGCTACGGCAGTTACGAATACCTGGTGATGCCCTTTGGCCTCACGAACGCGCCCTCGACATTCCAGATGACCATGAACGGGGTTTTCAGGGAACTCTTGGATAAATGCATAATTATCGACCTCGGCGACATCCCAATCTACAGCCGCAGCAGGGAGCAACACTTAAAGGATCGTGATGCAGTCTTCACGCTGCTGCACAAGAATCGCCTCATCACGAAAGGGTCTAAGTGCGACTTTCTTAAGCAGGAGTTGGAGTTTTTGGGACACGTCGTATCTACCGAAGGAGTGAAAATCGACCCTAAGAAAATTAAGACAATCCGGGAATGGAAGCCGCCGACCAACCTCAAGGAATTGCAGAGTTTTCTCGGTTTCGTCAACTACGTCCGCCGCTTTATACCCAATATGGCTGGGTTATCTGCCCCGCTAACCGAACGATTGAAGGATCACGATTCCTTTTGGTGAGGAGAGAAGCAGCAAGCTGCATTTGACCAACTGAAGATCGCCTTCACGTCGCTGCCCGTTCTTCGCATCTCCAATCCTGACCATCCATACGAAGTCATCACCGACGCCAGCGACATCGCCATCCGTGCAGTTCTCCTACAGGATTTCGGCGACGGGTTACAGCCAGTCGCCTACGAATCACGGAAGCTGCAGGGCGCGGAGAAAAATTATACAGTCCACGACAAGGAAATGTTGGCGATCGTCCACGCGTTCAAGACTTGGCGGTGCTATCTGACAGGCGCTGACGTCACGGTGCGAACTGACCACAAATCCTTGCAGTACCTGCGAGCCCAACCGAATCTCAACCCGCGACAGATCTGATGGCTTGATTTCCTCGAGTCGAATTTCCATTACACCATCACCTACAAATGGGGCGCCAACAATATCGCCGATGCCTTGACCCGACCTACTGCCCATACCGCCGCCATACTAATCGCCCAGTCCAGCCCCTTACTTACCAGACTATTTAACCACGGCTACAAGATCGACCATTTCTCCCGCTCCGCTATTCATCAACAGTACACCACCGCCACGGGACACTATTTTAACAAGCGCGATACTTCCCGCATTTGGGTACCCGGCTACAATTTGCTTCGTACCCTTTTAATACAGGAATCTCACGACAACCCTACTTCCGGGCATTTCGGAGTCGACAAAACTACGAAGACGTTGCAGCGCAACTACTATTGGCCGAACACGGCTGACGACGTGCGCAAGTACGTGTCCTCCTGCACCGCCTTCCAGATCATGAAATCTCCTCATCAGCGAGCAGCTGGACTATTTCAGCCGTTGGATCCGCCCGAGCGACCATGGCAACACATCACGATGGACTACGTGACAGGCCTGCCAGCCGGTCCCAGTGGAAACGACGCCATCCTCGTGGTCGTCGATCGACTCACGAAAATGGCGCACTTCATCGCTTGCCAACAGACAATCACAGCCGAGCAAACTGCTCAACTGTTCATCGCCAACGTCATTCGCCTGCACGGACTGCCTACCGCCATTATTTCATACCGAGACCCGAAATTCACATCGAATTTCTGGCGCCACCTGTGGGACCAGTTCGGTACCAAACTACAGTTTTCCTCTCCCAACCACCCACAGACGGACGGACAGACCAAACGAGTCAGCCAAACCATGGAACAGCTTATTCGGACTCCCTGTACTGACCCACAGACATGGGAGAAATCCCTTCCGCTGCTGGAGTTCGCGTATAACAACGCACCCTCAGCGACAACGCATCAGTCCCCATTTTTCCTAAATTACGGACAGGACCCAATGGTTCTCTCTACCCCGAATATCGAGACACCCGTGCCCCGACCCCAGAAATTTGCTGAAGGCATTCTCGCCGTCCGAGAAAAAGCAGCCGAGGCCATCCGGATAGCCAACCTAGTCGCAAGCCGACAAGCCGATCGCCATCGACGTGACGTCACTTACAAAGTGGGAGATCTCGTACTACTCGACACTCGCAATTTGCGCCTGCCGATCCCGAACAAACTCCGCCCCAGATTCTGCGGACCCTTTCAAGTAACGAATATGGTGACACCTGTCACTGCTCACCTCCGACTCCCGACTGATTGGCGTCACCACCCGGCGTTCCACGTCAGCCTCTTACGGCCCTACGTCCACAGTTCGTCAGACTTGGCGCGCCAACGCACTGTACCGCAACCTCTGCAGGAACCGACAACCGAGCCTTTGAAAATTCTGGGCCATCGAGTCACGACGCAGCTGAACCGTCGGATGGTTGATTTTCTCGTCCGCTGGCGCAATCGCACGTCCGAAGACGACAGCTGGGTGCCGCTCGCTGAGCTAGAATCACATCCGATTCTAACAGCGTATTATCAACGTCGGAATATTTCCGATGCCAGCGGTCTCGTTTAGGAGGGGGGGTAGTGTAAGGAATTTCCATTCCTTAACTGAGTCGTACGCTAGCGCGTACACCCGACTTCCTCGACTTGTCACGATCGGCCTCAATTATCGGCCCAACCCTTTCCCGAGTCGCGTCCGGCACTGTCGCCACATTGCCGAACCTACCCACGTTCCGAGGTTATCGCCCTAGTACGTCAACTCCTATATAACCTCGTGCCCTCATTGCAATAGCAACCGTTGTATTATCACGTTTTAGTACATTGACACTTCCTATTTCATAACACTAATCATGTGACACTGTGGTAGCGCGGCCGCTAAGCTAATACTGAGTACGAGTTCGATGGTTTTCCAAATAGATTCGTTCGATTGCATGAAAATATGGCATGACATACAGTTATGTTATGTTGCACAAATAGAGAGAATCAGAATGTGAATATCGGGACAAAAGTACAATGATGCAACTGGAAAACAACCCCATATCTAGAGAGAGCTAGGCGAGGAGAGCTCTGTTAAGGCTAGGCTAGGCAACGTCGAGACGTGAGGCTCAAAACGGTATGATGCGTGCTGTTCAGGTCCGCACCTCATTTTGGCGCGCGCGGTCCGAGTGTAGGTGCGTTTTGATGGACGCAGCAGAACCGTCGAAAGGTGGATTTTCTCGTCAGATGGCGCTACCGGACGTCTAAGGATGACAGTTGGGTGCCCCCCGCTGATATAGAATCACACCCGATTCTAACAGCGTATTATCAGCGTCGGAATGTTTCCGATGCCCGCGGGGGGGGGGGGGGGGGGGGGGGGGGGGGGGGTAGTGTAATGAATTTCCATTCCTTACTGAGTCGTACTCTAACGCGTACACCCGAACTCCTCGACTCGTCACGTTCGGCCTCATTTGTCGGCCCAACCCTTTCCCGCGTCGCGTCCGGCACTGTCGCCACATTGCCGAACCTACCCACGTTCCAAGTTTATCGCCCTAGCACGCCAACCCTTATATAACCTCGTGCCTTCATTGCAATAGTGACCTTGTATTCTCACGTTATATTTCATTTACACTTCCTACATCATAACATTTTGCAAGGATGGTCATTGTTTCGAACTTTGGTGCAGAGTCAAGGTGGGCGGCTCGGTTGACATTCATTGAAATCGTTTCCCCGCAAATTGTCTCACTGGAATTTTTTCAAAACCAAAATTGACCGACCCCGCTCTCTCACCCCAGCAATTTCTCCAAGTCTACCCGTCTGTTTTGCTTGTGTGGACTCTGTCGAGCCGCATCCCTTCAAAATTCGAATGTCGCGTCTCGGCTCCAACCTTCCCCACCGTCGCCACAATGGCGCAAGCAAGCACTACCTCAGACCTTCTAAGCATCAAGCATTCCCCAGAGCATTCAATTCTCACATCATCTTCAGATCTCCAGCCCTCGCAACATCAAGCCTTTCCCGCAATTCTGCCCACTCAAACTACGGCAGCACAGAACGTTTCTTCTCAGTCAATTCTTTTTTGAAAATTTCTTCAAGCTATGGCGACTACTCGTTTCCTCTCGGCGCTTTTGGCGATACTCGCCCTCTCATGTAAGACCCTCTCTCCCAACATTCGCGGCCCCCCGTTCCTCGTTGGTCAATCTGCTGCCTCCAATATTCGGTCCCGGGCCTCGGTTCAAGAAAAAAAAAAACGCTATTGTACTAACTCCAATCCTTTCTTCCTCTCTCTCTCTCTCTCCTTCAGGCCTAGCTGACGCCAGAAATCTCCAAGTGATCAACCCCGGAATCCCCGCCGTCGAGCCGCAGACCGTCGAAACCACCCCCGTCCCCGGAACTACCGCCCCCGCTGGCCTCGCCACAATCGCAGCCGTGCCGACCCCCAAAGCGAGCACCCCCGCGCCCACGGCGGCCGCTCCCACTCCCAAAGGCAAGGTCCCGGCGGCTCAGGCTGCTCCTGGCGGAAAGCCGCAGGGCGCAGGCGGTGCAGGCGCAATCCGCGGGGCGCCTAAGGCGCATCCCGCCCCCATCCCCGCGGGCTTCGGGGAGTACAAGGGGAAGGTGCTTGGGCGGCAGGTGACGCAAGTGGGGACCGTTCTCCGCGGGTCGTCCGTCGTCGGCGCAACCCCCGGCGATGCGGAAGCGACGGGAAATGCGATCCTGACCGTCTATAAGAACGGGCCCAAGGTCAACATTAAGTACGTCGTCTCCGTGCGACGTTTGTCCGTGGCGGGACCGCCGACCGCTGCGTCGATTAACAAGGCCGCCAGCACCGCGGTTGGGCCCGCTGTGATCAGTTTCGCAGGAGCCGAGTGGGTGGACACGACGGGTGTCGATCGGACGAAGGCTGGCGCTTCCGCACCTGCGGGTAACTACATCAGCTATGCGACGACCGGAGTGTGGGAAGACGTCGCCAAAATTCGCACGGTCTCTGGCGAGCCCCTTTCGACCGCGTTCGCGAAAGTTATGACTGCCCCGGAGAGCTTCTACGTGACTGTGTCGACGCCGAGTTTCCCCACGGGGGCGGCGCGCGGGCAGCTGCGGAAGGGCACTGGCGCAACTGTGCTTCCGCCCGGCCACCAGCGCCAGTGGGAGGAGAAGCAGAAGGCGGCGAAAAAGCCCGCCAACTGATAAACCCCATTTCTAACGGACGCGATCTGCTGCGAGGATCCGATCTGATTCTGCCGAATCCCGGCGCTGCCAGCCTTAGTGGTTTAGTGATTCAGTTAGTTAGCTGGCATGTCATTTTGCCAAGCCTATGACACACGGTAGAAGCTATCCTCTCTAACTGAAGTTTGGATTTACTTTTCCCTCGGATGTTTGGATTCACTTTCACTTTCACGCTGAAGTGCCTTTTTTCTCACAACCCATTCACTTCGGGAATTGGTTGGTTGGCACAGCAAATGCCGACAAGCAAAATGCCACTCAACCCTCTTGCTGTGCTCATGGATTGTGCCCAGTTATGGTGGAACTTGCTTGGAGTTATTTTCTATGAAACCTTTCTGACTTCTATGAATCTTCTCTAGAAATTTGTTCCATTTTGTGTGCCAATGCAACACCATACTGGGTAACCTTGGGGGGTATGCGTTTGTAGAGTCAAATGCAGGATAGTCAACTGCACCTCAACAAAGTCCTTCAGTCTCAAGCGAATCCAAGTTCTTGGCAATATCATATGCAAATAGCTCCATGTAAATGAATCCATAGTACCGATAGTACACTCCCCATTTGTGATACTAGCCTCACATCACATGCCAACAATAATGCCCGTTGTAAGATCGTCATCAAGCAGTCACTCGGCTACGGAGAAAACAATGGGGCCAATCCTCGACGAAAACATCTTGCTGAGAGCAACCTGGATCTCCGGCGACCCATGCTCACTGCTTACCAAATCCGCCAGCAACGGGAAGAACCTTGCCAGGTGCTTTTTGAACGCCGCATCCTTCAAAGCGGTAACCGCCTGCAGCGTAGCCACGACTAGTGGCGCCCGAGCCACCAGTTCCCGGCGCCGAGCCGAGCCGAGGGGTACGGCAAGAGGTATGGGAGGGAGGGGTGGGGCGTCTGCACCTCTCGGGTCATCGGTCATCAAAGTGAGCTTGCCCTGGGATGTGCCCACATACACCTGAACATGGGGGAGGGGGGGGGGGAGGGGGATGATAATGGTGAAAAAAAAGCCAAATACGTGGTCACTAGAGCGAGGTTGCCATGGGAACTGCGCACACAGAGATAAAGGGGTGAGAGGGGGCGTGGAGAAGAAGGAAAGAAATGAAAGAAAATGCACGTACCCGGAGCACCTCCTCAGAGGATCACTAGCTTGAGCTCCATGTCCACTTCTTTCGCCAGCTGGACCGCCTTTCCACCAAAGAACAGCCCCCTACCTTGTACCCTAAACCCCCCCTAAGAGCCTTATGAACGTACCCTAAGAACCTCCTCGCAGAGGATCACGAGGGGCGGAGCTTCACGTCCACATACCTGGCCAGCTGGGCATTCACAGTACCCAGGAAGCCCCTACCCTGTACCACTTGTGTCACTGCAACAGACCCAAAGCACGTACCCGGAGCACCTCCTCACAGAGGATCACGAGCCTGAGCTCCACGTCCACCTCCATGGCCAGCTGGGCCGTCTTACTACCAGAGAGCAAACCCCTACCCTGTACATGCGTCACTGCAACGAGACCAGGGATGCTACCGTAGGTGGGAGAGCGGGGGGTGAGGAAAACATACCCGGAGCACCTCCTCGCAGAGGATTACGAGCCTGAGCTCCACATCCACTTCTTTCGCCAACTGGGCCTTCTCCCTCAGCATGCGCTGCAGCAGACTCAGGTCGCGTGCAGCCCCTCACTCTCCAGCCACAGAAGTCCTCCCCCTTCCCCTTCCCATACCCCAAACCAACTAACGTTGCACGCATGCATCCCCACAAGCCAACAGCCAAAGCCCTCGCCAACCCTCCGAAACAGAAACGTGAATAAAACACTGGTGGGTGAGTGGGAAGGCTTACCCGGAGCACCTCTTCACAGAGGATCACGAGCCTGAGCTCCACATCTACTTCTTTCGCCAGCTGGGCCTTCTCCCTTGGCAGGCGCTGGAGCAGACTCAGGTACGCGTGCAGCGCCTCACTCTCCAGCCTCAGCAAAGGAGGGTCCGGCATCTGAGTGGCCAGATGGAGGGCTTGGAGGCGCGAGCGCAGGAGGCGGTCGGAGTTGATGGCGTGGGCGTGCGTGCCGACTAGGTGGAGCGAGTCGAGGAGGACGAGCGTGTGCGGGGCGGAGAGGGATGCACCGTGCATGCTGAATATCTCCGTCATTGCCTGGAGGAGGGGGGGGGCAGGGGTGGGACAGGGGAGAGCACCTTCAGTAAATAAATGGCGAGGCATGGTTTCAGGAGCCTTGACAACGGCCCAAGGGCGCGTGATATAAGGTTTGTTTTGAGACGCCTCAAAAGAAACCTTATATCACATGGCATGGTATCAGGTGCCTTGACAACGGCCTAAGGGCGCGAGCGCAAGAGGCGGTGGGAGTTGATAGCGTGTGCGTGCATGCCAACCGGGAGGAGCTAGTCGAGGAGGACTAGGGTCATTGGCATCTTGGCTATCGTGCACCAGCAGCAGCTGCACCGCCGCTATCGTACACCTTACATCCCCAATTGCCTCTGCCAGGGTCATTGGCCTCTTGGCTACTGCTATAGCAGCAGCATTTGCGCTAGTAACACGGCAAGGATACAGACAAGGTTAAAGCCAACTGACCTGCACCAGCAGCAGCTGCACCGCTATCTTGCACCGCACATCCCCAACTGCCTCTGCCAGGGTCATTGGCCTCTTGGCTACTGCTCCCCCCTCCTCTCCTGCATCCGCATCCCCACCACCCGCGCCACCAGCGCCACCAGCACCTGCAGCAGCAGCAGCAGCAACAGCCTCTGCAACAGCAGCAGCCAGCTGCTGCTGCTGCTGCTGCTTCTCATCGTCGTCCTCGTCCCTCGTGAAATCAAACCTCCTGGCCTCTCGAATCTGCTGCTGCCGCTCCACCTCCCTCTCCTCCTCATCCTCCAAATCTGCTGCCTTCACAACGCCTGCTAGGTCGGGGAGAGTCGTCCCCGTCGTTTCCTTGAGAGCAGTCAGCACCTCGTCCCACTTCTCCTCTGAAAACAGCCCCCCCGCGTTGCTCATAAGCCTCACAAACGCCGCTACCCCGATCGCCGCGAGGCTCTGGTGCGGCCTCCGGATGAATGACGTCAGCAGGGCCAGGATCTTCCCTAGAAGCGGGCTCACTTTAGCATAGAACTTCACGAAAAGATCCACTACAAGCTGAAGCGCTAAGGTGCACGTTTCATACAGCCACGCGTCCATCTCGAGCTCGGATACGGGATCTGGACTGCTGCTCCGTGCCGCCCGGAGCCGCTCATCCTCTGACGTGGATGGGTGGCGGGAGAGCGGCGCCCCTCTATGGTGCGAATGCTTGTGGATGGGCACACCTGCCGCTCCTGCCTCCCCTGCTCCCTTCCCTCCCCCGGCTCCTCCTCCCGCCTCCGATTTTCCACCTTTACCCCCTCCATCACCACCTCCACCACCTCCTCCTCCTCCCCCTCCTCCGCCTCTTTTTCCTCCTAGCATCACCCCACCAGCATCACCGTATTGCGGCTCGGAGGCGCGGCGAACGTAGTCGAAGATGGGGAAGAGGACGGACTCGAAGACGCGCTCCCAGAGCGCAGCGGAGAACATGTGGCCGTGGAAGCGCAGCGTGTCAAAGAGGACTTCCAATGCGCTTTTCCTGATGTCTGGACGCGGGTCAAAGGTGAGCTCCGACAGGCCTGAGAGGCAAGGATAGAAGAGGAGGGAAGGGGGGCTTTGAAAACAGAGGAACACGGACTCGACGACGTGCTCCCAGAGGGCAGCGGAGAACATGTGGCCGTGGAAGCGCAGCGTGTCAAAGAGGACTTCCAATGCGCTTTTCCTGATGTCGGGACGCGGGTCAAAGGTGAGCTCCGACAGGCCTGAGGGGAGGTGGTACGTGAGGGAGTCCAGGGGGGAGAAGAGAGGGAAAGAGGGAAGGCGGCGAACATGTGGCCGTGAAAGCGCAGCGTGTCAAAGAGGACTTCCAAAGCGCTTTTCCTGATGTCTGGGCGCGGGTCAAAGGTGAGCTCCGACGGGCCTGAGAGGCAAGGGTAGGAGAGGAGGGAAGGGGGGCTTTGAAAACAGAGGAGCACGGACTCGACGACGTGCTCCCAGAGGGCAGCGGAGAACATGTGGCCGTGGAAGCGCAGCGTGTCAAAGAGGACCTCCAGGGCGCTCTTCCTGATGTCTGGGCGCGGGTCAATGGTCAGTTCAGACAGGCCTGAGAGTCAAGGTTAGGAGAGGAGGGAAGGGGGGCTTTGAAAACAGAGGAACAAGGATTTAAAAACGCGCTCCCAGTAGCCAGCGGAGAACATGTGGCCGTGGAAGAGCAGCGTGTCAAAGAGGACCTCCAGGGCGCTCTTGCGTGTCTGGGCGCGGGTCAAAGGTCAGTTCAGACAGGCCTGAGAGGCAAGGTTAGGAGAGGAGGGAAGGGGGGCTTTGAAAACAGAGGAACAAGGATTTAAAAACGCGCTCCCAGTAGCCAGCGGAGAACATGTGGCCGTGGAAGCGCAGCGTGTCAAAGAGGACTTCCAGGGCGCTCTTCCTGATGTCTGGACGAGGGTCAAAGGTGAGACTCCGACACGCCTGAGAGGCAAGGGTAGCAGACGAGGGAAGCGGGGCTTTGAAACCAGAGAAACAAGGATTCAATTACGCGCTCCCAGAGCGCAGTAGAGAACATGTGGACGTGGAAGCGCAGCGTGTCGAACAGCACCTCCAGGGCGCTCTTCCTGATGTCTGGACTAGGGTCAAAGGTGAGACTCCGACAGGCCTGGCGTGGGTGGGGGAAGCATGGAAAGGTGGGGGGAAAGAAGGGAGAGGGCAAAGGAGCCCTTGAGTCGAAGACGGTTAAGAGGACGGAAGAAAACGGACTCGGAGAAGCGCTCCCAGCGCACAGCGGAGAACATGTGGCCGAACGCATCGTGTCCAAGCGGACTTCCAAAGCACTCCTCCTAATCTCAGGACGCGGGGCAGGCGTGTTACCAGGCGCAAGAAGAGCCAAGCAGGGCACTAACAAGCAAGGAGAGGAAACCAGAAGGAGAGGAAATCGGAAGTATAGGTGATCGTCCTTATCCATAAACTCCTCCCCGCCCGGGTGCCCTATTGAGGCTCACTGGTATGGTCTCCTCTCTTCAGGCGTGTTACCAGGCACAACAAGAGCCAAACACGGCACTAACCAGCGAGGAGAGGGAACCAGAAGCAGAGATGTCCGTTTCTACCAGTGAACTCCTCCCCATCTGGATGCCTTGGTGGGGAGGGGATCAGCGCAGTGTGCTACAAGGTGCAGCAAGGCCCACAAGCAGGGTACTAAATGCACTAACCAGCAAGGAGAGGGAACCAGAAGTAGAGGTGGTCGTCCTTATCCGTAAACTCCTCGCCATCTGGGTGCCCCGGCATGTGTGACGCATTGGCGGGGATCAGCCCCTTCTCCCTCTCCAGTGCCGTTGCCCCCAGATCCCCTTCGGCCAGCTTGAGCGCACAGAAGCGCAGGAAGGCTATGGCGTTAAGGGAGACGTCTTTATTGAAGCGCGAGTTGGTGAAGGCGATGAGGCAGTTGACGCAGTCTGTGAAGGTGGTGGTTTCTGTTTCGGTGATGTAGGGGAAGTACTCTCGCACGACCTTTTCTATGGTCTCGAATGCGAGGAGAACAATGTTCTTGTTGTCGTCTGTTGCTGCCGTGGTGAACACCTGGAGTGTGGTGGGAGCGAGCAAGCGGGGGGGGGGGGGGGGAGGGGGGGGAGAGAGAAGAGCAAAGGCAAAGAAGGGGAGAGAGCAAAGAGAGGAAGGAGGAGAGGCGATGAGGCAGTTGATGCAGTCTGTGAAGGTGGTGGTTTCCGTCTCCATGATGTAGGGGAAGTACTCTCGAACAACCTTCTCGATTGTTTCAAATGCGAGAAGAACAATGTTCTTGTTGTCGTCCGTTGCTGCCGTGGTGAACACTTGAACGGAGGGGAGGAATCAAGAATGAAATGGTGGTTATGGGTTTGGTATCAGTGATGCACGGGAAGTACTCGCGAACGACTTTCTAAATGGTTTCGAATGCGAGAAGGACGGTGTTCTTGTTGTCATCCGTTGCTGCTGTGGTGAGCACCAGAACAGAGGGGTGGGGGACGAGGCGAATTGGGGGACGGGGGGAAGTGGGGAATGGGGAAGTGGGGAATGGGGAAGTGGGGAATGGGGAAGTGGGGAATGGGGAAGTGGGGAATGGGGAAGTGGGGAATGGGGAATCGGGGAATGGGGAAGTGGGGGGGGGGAAGAGCAAAGGAAGGAGGGGAGACGCTATCTCCACGCTCGCCATGCGCCGTATCACCACCACAAACAGCTTGCGGAACTCGTTGTGGAAGCTGTAGGCTCCTCACTTTCCCCCCACTTTCCCCTCAACCCGCCCCCTCCCTTCCCCCCCCCACCTCAACCTCCCAAGGCCCAATACCTCACCTGTTCTGTTCTCGACTCACCATGAACATGATCTTCCTTGCCCCACCCCCCCTCCGCACCCCCCCACCTGCCTTGCTCCCTGTACCCCCTACGCTTTCCTTACCATGAACATGATCTTCCAGCCGGACTTGACATTCGCCACGCGTGCAAACACCATCTGCGACACGCATCGAATAATCAGCTCCCGGATCTCCACGCTGGCCGTCCTCCTCATCACCACCACAAACGGCTTGAGGAACTCGTTCTGGAAGTTGTAATTGCTGAGCTCCTCCCTCTCCAGGAACTTCATGGCGAGCTGCCGCAGGCTGTCGATGGCGTACATGGCGACCGAGAGGTTCGGCATGCACCCCACCGTTACGAAGTAGTCTGCCAGGACGGCCCAGATGCGAGACCAGACCAGGCGGATGCGACTCATGTTGAAATGGCTGCAGGGGGGTGGGGGGGGGAGAGGGGTGGGAGGGGGAAGAGACACGGTCAAGCAGGAATTGAGGAACTCGTTCTGGAAGTTGTAGTTGCTGAGCTCCTCCCTCTCCAGGAACTTCATGGCGAGCTGCCTCAGGCTGTCAATGGCGTACATGGCCCCCGACAGGTTCGGCATGCACCCCACTGTTACAAGGTAGTCGGCCAAGACGGCCCAGATGCGAGACCACACCAGGCGGATGCGACTCATGTTGAAATGGCTGTTGTGTTGGGGGGAAGAGGGAAGAGAAGGAGGGGGTGGGGTGGGGGAGAGAAAGGGGTCTGTGTTAGGGGGGTGGTTGGGATCCCGCCCTCCCTGGTGCATAGGCTGTCAACTGACAGGCTGGGCACCTCACATTCACAAGCTGGCCGCCCTCTCAAGCTGGCCGCCCTCTCAAGCTGGCCGCCCTCCCGAGCTGGCCGCCCTCTCAAACTTGGAAACACTTCTATGGCAGATAACTTACGCAATCTCGACAAATTTTGGTGACGGAGAACACCCTCGGCTCAGTGGGAGAGCGCAGCTCCTCCAGGGACAACTTGCAGAGGGCGAACTCCACTATCGCCTGCCTGCTGAGGCGCCCTTAGAAACACTTGCTGCCTTTTGGGGGCCCTTGCAGTGTCCAACACTTACACTATCTCGACAATTTTGGTCAAGGAGAACACCCGTGGTTCAGTGGGCGAACGGAGCTCCTCCGATGAAACCTTGCAGAGCGCCTTCACGAGCTCCACAATCGCCTGGCCGTTCAGGCGCCCCTAGAAACACTCCCTGTGAGAAACACTTACGCAATCTCGACAATCTTCGTGAGGGAGAAGACGCGGGGTTCAGTGGGCGAACGGAGCTCCTCCAATGAAACCTTGCAGAGGGCTTTAACGAACTCCACAATCGCCTGCCCGTTGAGGCGCTCGCTGCGGGAGAACAGGCGAGAGACCTCGTCCGACCCCACCTGCTCCAACAGACCCAGGTTAGCCACCAGCAGCTGCACCTGTGGTTGCGCCAGTGAGGACGGGAGGGGAAACGTAGGACGTGAGAGAGGAGTTGGAAAGGGGGACATATGGCAACAGGCGCGCTGACCTTACCTGGGGAGAGGTGAGAAAGACTCGTCCATTCCCACCCCTCTGGCTGCTTAAGTCATCTCACATAAGCTAGCCCTGGTTGGCCAACACATTTGTTCGAGAACTGACCTGATTGGAGGAGAGATGCAAGAGAGACACGCCCACGCCCACCCCTGTAGCGCCTCCTGTGATCACCCCCTGACAGCCGTACGACCCTCATTTGTTGCTTGAAAAAAAGAGGACTGACTGACCTGATCGGGGGAGAGATGCGAGAGAGACACGCCCACGCCCACGCCTGTGGGCCCTCCACTGATCACCCCCTGCGGGTCGTACGAGCCTCGGCGCACCAGCTTCTCCACCTGGGTCATTTTGCCGGGCAGCTGGGGGGAGGGGAAATGAGGTGCGACAACGAGAGAGTGATGAGAAAGGTGCCACTAATATCCGAATTCTAGCAGTATACATAGAGCCATGTGGGCCGTATGTACGACCCTCGGTGCACCAGCATCTCCACCTGGGTCATTTTTCCAGGTAGCTGAAGGGCGGAGGGTATGGGATGAATCATGAGACAGAGGAGAGGAAGTGGCTCAGATTCACACCAGTCTTCGCGTATGTCTAGCTGTCCGGTTCAAAGCTTCTCCACTCCACCTGGTTAAGCATCTTAGGCATTTGGGGGAGAAGGAGGAGGAGGGAGGGAGGGAGGGGGCAGCGTATGGCAGTTTCAGCTCACCATTCAATCAACTCCCAGTCCCTCTCCAAGAGTACACTACTGGATCAAGCTACAGTTCTGGTACACACCACACGCGCACGCAAGAGATACCACAGAAATGTCCACTCCGACTCACATTCTTCCAAGCAGGAGCCTCCCCTCCCTCGCCAAACCTCTTCGCCTGCCCCTTCGGCGTCCCAGCGTCCCCCGCGCTCCCCCTCTGCACTCCCCCCGCCGTCTCCCTCTGCCCCACCCCGCCCGCCCCATACCCTCCCCCCCCCCATACGCCGCGGCCGCCACCCCTCTCCCCCCCCCCCTCTTCCCTTGGGGATCCAGGGGCTGCGGGCGGTTCTGCTGTGGGAGGGGGGGCAGCTGCGGTGCTGCGGAGAAGAAGTGGCTGTCGGTGGGGGCGCCCTCCCCAATGAGGTGCAGGTGCTCGTAGCGCGACACACAGGTGAGCACGTGCTCCCATGCCTCCTGGAGATAGTTCCCATCGTCCTCTGCTACCAGCAGCAGGCTCTGAAGGGGTTAAGAGGGGCGTGGATTCGGGAGGCGAAGGGAAGGTGTCAGGGCCGCGTGGCGTTTGAAAGATGGTAGGGGGAAGAGGCCCTGAGAAGAGAGTAAGCAGGGGAATGGGGAGGGCACAGGGGTGAGGTGACGGTGCTCGTGGCGTGAGACACAGTGAAGCAGTGTGAACGGGGCTCGTGTCAACGGGAAGGAAAACAAAAAATCCACGGGAAACGACATAGGGTGAACAAAGCGCAACAAACCAACAAACGGCACAGAATATGCACCCAAGCACCCACCTTAATTGCGTCCACGTTCTTCTGCTTGATGTCTGCTGCAGAGTGCAGCGATGTGAACTTGGCCAGAGATGTCACAAACGCATCGCGCTGCATCTGGTGGGTCAGAGAGGCAGGAATAGGGAGAGGGAAGCAAGGGGATGGGGAGGGGAGAGGAGAAGGGGGGGCGTTAGGAAGGGAAGAGCAGATGCTGATGAAGGCTTTTTCAAGCCGAAACTAGTTCATCCTGGTTTTAATCAAACCTACTGTTCATTCTTTTAAGCTCGAGCTCAAACTCAGAACCGCTGCCTCGCAACGCATTTTACCATCGGGGATGGGGAGGGGAGAGAAGAAGGGGGGGCGTTAGGAAGGGAAGAGGAGGAGGAGGACGGGAAGGGCTGCTGAATGCCGCGATGTGAACTTGGCCAGACACATCACAAAACGCAATGCCTTGCATCTGGTGGGTCAAGGACTGCGGAATGGCGAGGGAAAAACAGACAGGAGAGACAATTGCAAGGGACGGGAGGCAGAGCGTGGCAAGCCGACAACATCAGTGACCTGCACAGCGTATCGGAACCCCTTCAGGCACTGCTCTGCTCTGGCACCACATCCTCCTCTGCTAACGAATGCCCTCGAATGCCAGGCATTCTGGACACATGTCACAATCATTTTACAATCCCACGGCTGCATGCTCCTTACCTACACGATTTTCACCCCCATTTTCCCCACCTGCAAGCCGATGACAGTAGTGACATGCACGGCGTATCGCAACCCCTCAAGGCACGGCTCCGTCACCGCCTCCTCCTCTGAAGTCAAATGCCCCTGCCACACGTGTCTCTCATATCCCTTTCCCTCAAACACACTCCCCTTACCTGCATACTGATGACCGTGGTGACATGCACGGCGTATTGCAACCCCTCCAGGCACTGCTCTGTCACCGCCGCATCCTCCGTTGTCGCATGCTCGCACGCTCGTGCCGCATGTCTCTCAAATATTCCTTCCCTCACATGTCCCTTAGATGTGCCTTACAATCCCCTTACCTGCATGCCAATAACAGCAGTCACGTGCACGGCATATCGGAACCCCTCCAGGCACTGCTCTGTGACTGTCTCCTCCTCCGTCGTCTCCAGGGGCACTGAGAACGCTGCCAGCATGGGCGCCCACACCACGTCCACCATGGGGCGGATGATCTGCACGTCCGAGGCGGCGTAGAACACAGATCTGTGGCAAAGGGGGGGAGAGAGGAGAGAGTGAATAGGGGTACGTGGAGAAAGGAGAAGGAGAAGGTACGAGTAGGATGTCAGCTCACCCTCACACCACACCAAAGATCACCCTGATTTCCCGTCTAGGCGCGGAACTGCTCCTGCATGTGCCTGACCACCTCGTCACTTGTCTCCAACCTTCCCCCGTGCGCACTGGCTGTACCCCCCCCCCCCCCCCCACCCCCCAGCAGTTCAAGCTCACCCTGATTTTCCTTGACTTGGCGCGGAACTGCTCCTGCATGTGCCTGACCACCTCGTCGCTCGTCTCCAACCTTCCCCCATGCCCACTGGCTGTCTTCCCCCATACCCCCACACCCTGATTTCCCCACATCGGTGCTCACCCTGATTTCCCCGCCTTGGCGCGGAACTGCTCCTGCATGTGCCTCACCACCTCGTCGCTCGTCTCCAGGTCTGTGGTGGCCCGCGTGCGCCCCGACATGAGGTTCAGAATGCTCTCCAGCCCCAGCAGCGCGCCGCCCGCCGCACTACTCGCAGCAGCAGCCTTGGCCGCCGCCCCGCCCGCCCCCAGGAGCTCGGGCTTCATCTTGATCTCGTTGCGCGTGATGCGGTCGTACAGCCCGCCCAGGAACTCCTCGGGAATGTCCTTGCCATCGTCGATGCCTCGGTTGTTTTTTAGGAAGTCCGCTTTGCTCATCTGTAAAAAGGGTTTTGGGTGTGGGCGGGGGGGGGAGGGGGGGAGAGAGCTGGTGAGTTAGGAAACTTCAGGTTTCATTTTGATCTCATTGCGCGTGATGAGGTCGTACAGCCCATGCATGAACCCCCCTGGAATGTCCTTGCCATCATCGACGCCTCCCCTAGAATGTTCTTGCTGTCGTCGATTCCTCGGTTGTTCTTCAGAAAGTCACTTCGCTCATCTGGTGAAGTGCTTTGTGTGTCGTTAGGGGGGGGGAGGGGGGGAGAGAGGTGGGGGGAAGGTGGGGGGGAAGTGGAGGGGGTTAGGGGGGGTCAAGGGAGCTCGGGCTTCATTTTGACCTCGTTGCGCGTGATGCGGTTGTAGAGGCCTCCTAGGAGCTCCTCTGGAATGTCCTTGCCGTCGGCGATGCCTTGATTGCTCATCTATTCGTGCGGCTCATGAGGAAGCAGAGCGAGCCGAGTACAGAGTACGCCAGCACATAGGGATGTCCGCGCTGGTAAACGCTCATGGGGTTCAAAATCCCACCAAGGCTCTTTAAGGCACATCATAGTCACCCACCTTGCTCTTGACGCCTGGGTTGTGCGCGTCCGTGTTGAGCATGATGACAGAGTACGCCAGCACGTATGCAGTGTCTGCGCTCGTGAACGCCTTGGGGTTGCAGCGGCAGTAGCGCTCTGCAAACTTCTCCATGATGCGATCAATCTTCTGCGCCTCTCCCGGCAGCCGGAAGCCCAGCAGCACCGATCGAATCGCCTCATCGAAATCCATTCCCTGGTAGAAATGGGGGGGCGGGGGGGGGCGGGGAGGGGGAGTGGAGGAGGAGGGGGGGGAGGGGGGGGAGCAGGATGCATTCAGAAACTTAACAAACACACACACACACACTAGGAGAGTGAATTACACTGTCTTTAAATGACTGCAGCAAACCGACTTGAGAAACCTAAGGCAAGGAAGGACGACAGAGGCAACACTTAATCGCAGAGAGACTGCACGAGTCCATGCACGAGTGCATGATCTTGACTGATGCGCCTACCATCCCTGCCCCCCAGAAAGAAAAGCCGAGTGCCCCACTCACAGAGAGATTGTACGAGTCCATGTAAGCGTGCATGATCTTGATGCTCATGTCATCCCTGTCAGACAGTCTCCCATGATGAAAAGCAGAGCGCCCCACTCACAGAGAGGTTGTATGAGTCCATGCACGCAGGATCTTGAGCATGATCTTGATACTCATGTCATCCCTGTCAGAGTGTCTCCCATAGTGAAAAGCAGCGTGACCCACTTACAGAGAGGTTGTACGAGTCCATGTAAGCATGCATGATCTTTATACTCATGTCATCCCTGTCAGAGTGTCTCCCATAGTGAAAAGCAGTGTGACCCACTTACAGATAGGTTGTACGAGTCCATGTAAGCGTGCATGATCTTGATACTCATGTCATCCCTGTCCCCCAGAAAGTCCCCGATCATCGTCTTATCCAGCCCCTCCGTCTTCCGCAGAAACGCCACCATATCCCCTAATGCGGCGCCTAAAAACTGGCAGGAAGAAGCCCCACTTACAGAGAGGTTGTACGAATCCATGTAAGCGTGCATGATCTTGATGCTCATGTCGTCCCTGTCCCCCAGAAAGTCACCAATCATCGTCTTATCCAGCCCCTCCGTCTTCCGCAGAAACGCCACTATCTCCTCCGCCCCTTCCCCGAGCTTCTTCGCCTTTATCAGGAAATCTATCCCCTTTTTAGGCTTCTTATTGAACAGGTTTATCCCCTCCTGCAACTCCAGCTTATACGCGCGCCTCTGCTCCAAAATTGCAGCTTCGGAGATCTCATTCCCACTGTTCACCCCCGGCTGCCCGGCCCCAGGCACCCCTCCAAGCCCCTCCTCCTCCAAACCCTCCTCTGATCTCACAACAGGCAGCCCTGCAGTCTTGGGATTCACAAAATCCGGCAGCAGATCCCCAGACAGTAGATCCGGCACAGCCACAGGAGCCGCAGCCCCCCCTTCCCCTGCAGCCGATGCTGCCGCTGCCGCCGCTGCCGCTGCTGCTGCCGAGGCGGCTGCAGCAGCAGCAGCAGCGGCGCCGATCTCAGCGGCCACCTTGGGCCCTGCGGTGACGCAGAGCTGGCGGTTGGTCCAGGAGCCCATGGAGCGCAGCACGCCCACCATGCACTTGATGGCGGCCAGCCGCAGCTGCTGGTCCTGGGCTGCGTTCAGCGTGGAGTCCGCCCCAGGGGGCACTCCCTGTGCTGTCTTCAGCAGCCCGCTCACCATTCTGCGGACAGACGGAGCAGGAGGGGAGACAGGGAAGGAGGGGAGTGCGGGGGGGAGAGAGGGGAGGGGAGTGAGGGGCCAAGAGAGTCCAAGAGACCACTCCCTGCGCCGTCTTCAGCAACCCGCTCACCATTCTGCGGAAGGGTTAATCGAAAGAGAAGGCAGCGCCAGGTAAGAAAATCGGGGAAAAGGAGGGGAGAGGAGGGGGGAGGGAGAGGGTGGAGGGAGAAGGGGGAGAGGAGGGGGGAGGGAGAGGGTGGAGGGAGAAGGGGGAAGGAGGAAGGGTGGGGGGATGACGAAAAAATGAAGGAAGTAGGTAGTACGAGCTGGAGTGTAGGTGATGTGGTGGACGAGAGCAGATGGGCCTGCAGGGTAGGCAGGTGGTGGTGGGAATGAATGGAGGATGAGGCTAAGGGGCACTGATACCGCAGGGTGTTTTTGAGAATTCTCAAAAAGGGTGTTTTTGAGAATTCTAAAAAAGGGTGTTTTTCAGAATTCTCAAAAAGGGTGTTTTTCAGAATTTTCAAAAACACCCTGAGAGTTCTCAAAAACAAACTGATACCTGGCCTGGCTCTGTTTTTGCTCTGAATCTGGCTCACCTTTCGAAGATGCTGACGGTCGACTCGACATCGCAGTCGTAGTTGGCAAAGATATCCACCAGGATCTGCGGGTCCACGCAGAGCCTCTCCAGGAACCTCAGCACGATCATCTTCTGCTGGAAGTTGGCGTGGGCGACGTTCTCCAGCACGCGCAGCACGATCATGGGGAAGAAGACGCCGATCTCGGCCTTGAGGACGGAGCGGAAGCGCGTGAGGAGGGAGAAGAAGATGGAGCAGGAGAGCTGGAAGACGGACATGAGCGACGAGGTGCAGTTCTTGAGCAGCGACAGGCACAGGTACTGCTTCACTGCGCCCACGAACCTGGCAGGGGGGTGGAATGAGGGACAACGCACCGAGAGACGGCGTGTGAGAGTTGTTGGGGGGGGGGAGAGGGACAGATGGGGCAGTTTGAAACATGACAGGCACAGGTACTGCTTCAGTGCGCCCACGAACCTGATGGAGTGAAAGAAATGGGCAAAAGGGGAGGATCGAGGGGGGAGGGGATTGAGAGAAGGAAGGAGGAGGTTTGCAGCACCTAAAAAAATGAAAGACATAGGTACTGTTTCACTGCGCCCACGATCCTGACGGATGGGAAGAAATGGGCAAATGGGAAGGATTGAAGGGGAAAGACCCGCCGCAGATAGTAGCCTTGCCTTTACCTCCAAGGGTGCAACGTTCTCACCTCTCATTGGTGCGGAAGACAGCACCGGGGTTCTCGAGGCGACACCACCTTGCACCGTCATATTCTCATCCCAGTAACCTCAGAACTGGCACGAGAACTAGTCTTGCCTCCAAAGTTCTCACCTCTCATTGGTGCGGAAGACAGCCCCGGAGTTCTCAAGGCAGAATTTCAGCAGCTCCAGCGACACCACCTTGCCGCGCACAGCCACACCCCAGCCCAGAAGAACCACTTAGGGCCACACCAGGCAACCCCCCCTCCCCCCCACACACTTCCAAAGCAACTGCAGTCCCCAGAAGACTCACCTCTCATTGATACGGAAAACAGCGCCGGAGTTCTCGAGGCAGATCTTGAGCAGCTCCAGCGACACCACCTTGCCGCGCACAGCGAACGGATCCACCACGCCCTCCGCCGGGGGCGCCTTCATCGACAGCTTGCACAGCGCGCGGAACACCAGGAGCACCAGGAGCACCAGGAGCACCAGGAGCACCAGGAGCGCATGGCCCCATTTCCCCCACCTCCCATCTTCCACAGCAGCTGCTACTCGACAAAAGGCTAGCCTCCCTCGTATCAAGCCCCAGAAGACTCACCTCTCGTTGGTGCGGAAGACAGCGCCAGAATTCTCGAGGCAGATTTTCAGCAGCTCCAGCGACACCACCTTGCCGCGCACGGCGAAGGGGTCCACCACCCCCTCCGCCGGGGGCGCCTTCATGGACAGCTTGCACAGCGCGCGGAACACGAGGAACGCGTCTCGCCGCAGCTTGTTCGTTATCTTCACCTCCGAGTCGCCCTCCTTCTCCGGATCCACGTCGGGAATGATCACTCCGCCGCCCTCCGTCATGGCTCCCGCGGGATTTACGCCGCCATTTGCGCTGGAGCCCGCGGGAACAGTGGCCACGGAGCCTAGGGTCGCGCCGGCTTTCACGGTGACTACTTTTCCGTCTCCGCCGCCTAGGGACTTGGTTGGATCGGTGACTGCGCCTGCGAGCATGTTCACGTCCCAGTACTTAACATCTAGCATGTCCTTATCCTCGACTAGGCTTCCTGCTGCTGCAGCACCGGTGGCGCTGGCTGTTACGGCTAAGTCAAACGCGCCATCGTCGAGAGACTGAGAATGCGCCGGGTTAAAAGCAACCTCGATATCCTGCACTACCTTGGTGATAAACGACTGTACGAACTGCGTTACGTTCTGATCCGACGCTAGCCTATCAGAGGGCTCCATTAGATCCGCGACCACGATTGGCTGAACCGGAACCGTCGACGAATCCGCTTCCATTCGCCGAAACACTATAACGAGCATCTGCGTGAGGGAAGCCTTGGCTGTGGTCTGGTTAACGGGGACCTTACTACCGAGGTAAATGTTGTAGCAGGTGCGGACGGCTTTAAGAACGCACTCGCCGTGAACGCGAAGCGAGGTGGAGGTAACGGCTGACAGCATAGTCTTTAGGACTAGGAGCTCCACCGCTTCGTCCGCTATGTCGTAGCACTTGCACACGGATTCCATAACCTGCATATGGGGGAATGAGCACATTCAGACGTTTATGGAGGTCGGAGTAACGGCTGACAGCATAGTCTTCAGGACCAGAAGCTCCACTCCCTCGTCCGTTATGTCATAGAACTTGCACACGGATTCCAATGTGCATGCACTCAGAACGCACAGATGGGAGAATCCGCGGTTAATTCGTGTGAACGCACCAGATTGACAGCACCTACACATGTCCCCAGAAAAAGGAGGTAAACACGCTATTCGCTTGCTGTCGTTGCTCACTCCCAATCTGAGACCTAATCTCTCCATTTCAACCCTACACATCCAATTTATCTAGGAACATACCCGCGTGAGCAGCTTGCTTTCGCGCGTCGTCCCGCCAACGTCCATCTCTCCCCGCAGATGCTGATGCGCGACCATCTTCTGAAGGCAGTCCAGCGTCGGCTCCACCACCTTCGCCGCGAGCGTCTCGCAGGCCGTGTGAAGTGGCGCCATGATAAACTCCGCGTCTTTAATCTTCAGCACCCGGTTACCGTCGTCGAACAACCCAGCGGGAAACGCCCCGCCAGACGATCCTGAATGACTAGATCCTCCCCGTGAAGCAGATTCGTCGAAGGGATTCACGTATCCGGGAGGATCTTGAGCAGGAGGCTGCCATTCCGTGCCTGGAGTAGGGTTCTTAGCGAACCATTCTATCAGGCCCTTGCAGTCTTGTACGAGCCGCTGGTGTTTCCGCCATGATGCGTTTTTAATGATTTTCTCGAGCGTGGGGACCACTAGCTTTGCCAGCCGACCCGGCTCGGTCGGCGGTGGCTGTTGTGTAGCCATGAGATTGAAGAGGGGAGTTACGGACGAGGAACAATATGAGGATTCAGATGAAGCTGAGGAACTCGAGGAAGCCGGCAAATGTGCTACCTGATGGTTTCCTGAAACAGAAACGGTATTCAACTTATCACTTGATTGCAACCAAGCTCACGAAAGCAGGAGAGCAATGCCCGATGCCGCATAGGCCGATGTACTCCAAATGAGTAAGGACGAAACTTAGGAGACTGTCAAGACCAAGCCACGACACGGGCACTAAGCCATCCTGCTATCACTAACTTCAGACCACAATGCAAATCTGGATTACTGCTTGATGGTGCCTTCCTCAATTGACCATCTAGAATTCGTTCGTACTGTCCTGTACAGTACCAGGTCGGTCGCCTGAAACATCGTGGTGTGTCAGGGGAACTGGGCCAGCCAGTCATGCCGTACCTTGGGATTGGTTGGGTGAAATCATCAACGGCTACTGTAGTCCCTAGGTGCGCGCCAAACCCGCGAACCTCGAGGGCGTGAGGGCCAGCGCGAGCAAACAGACCGTCGCAAGACGATGGCGCCGGTTGCGCGCGCCCAGCCGTGGGGGTACCCGGAGAATTCGCGCCAGATCCCCCCGACAGAGGGGTAGAGGTTCCCCCAAACCGCGTTATTTACATTCAACGTACAGTAGTGTTCTCACCTTCAAAACACCTTATCTTGTTCAATGATCCATTTGGAAGCATCTTGGTTATACAACTTGCTTGCAATGTAGATACCAGTAGGTACATTTTCCAGTGCAGAAGCAAATCAAAACCTGCATTCAACATGAAGTGTGAACGCGATTCATCAGTTCAACCTGGTTGTGTAGATCCTTGCTTTAGTTCTTGGCACTCAGATTCTAGAGCAGCGTATTCTGCTTCCAACTTGGCTGTCAGTGTGGCAACCTGCGCACACGCACGCACACGCACACGCACGCACGCACACACACACACACACACACACACACACACACACACACACACACACACACACACACACACACACACGCACACACGCACACACACACACGCGCGGACGCACGCACGTAATGCAGGATTTCTTATACCAGAAAAAGCCACCTGTGCTAACATCTTCCATGGCTTCCATTGCTCATGTGCGTTTGAGAAAAGTGATCCACTGCTGCAAAGAATGGTGTTCCACAGGTGACAAGCAGGTGCTTCAGAGCATTACCTGCTTCCTTGCAGCAGCTATGGCAGTCAGCTCTTGTTCGTCTGAAAACTGCAGAAACCACTGCGACAAGGGATGGTCCAGAGTGTCCCCACGATTCTCCCCTCGTAACTCCGACTCCAAGCTGCGTGCATCCACCAGTGTCGAACTGGAGCCATCTGCACAATTACGCACAGGAAATCAGGAAAAACATGATTTTTTAGTTGACTACAAAACCAGATTCTCCCCTGGTAACTCCGATTCCAAGCTGCGTGCATCCACTGGTGTCGAACCAGAGCCATCTGCAGGTACGCATGACTTTTGAGTCGACTCAAAAGGCCTTACGCTGAAATGGGAAACCATAAAATAAACCATGCGTGAGGAGTCTAGTTTTGAGGCGCCTAAAAAATAGACGCCTTACGCTGAAATGGGAACTTTAAAATAATAAATGTCGGTCATGCTCCACAACTCTGGAGGGATGCACAGCTCAAGAAGCTTCTGGACGGCATCAACAACTTATAACCATAAATTACACATAGATATTTGAAGCATGGATTTGGAAGTGTGACCAGACCACTATATTGACGGGCTGCTGCGGGGTTGCCAGCACCAGTGATGGCTTCTTCACCCAAGTGAATGGAGTCTAAATCTGAGGCGTCTCAAATGTGAGTGAAGTATGAAGAGGGAAGTGCAACTGCTACCTTGCGGGGCTGCTGCGTGGTTGCAGCAGCAGCGATGGCTTCATCACTGCCATGAATGGAGGTCTATTTTTTAGGCGTCTCGGTCTTGGAGAGGGTAAAGGACAGAGTGGGAAGGGTAGCTTTTACCTTGAGGGGCTGCTGCGTGGTTGCCAGCAGTAGTGATGGCTTCATCACTGCCGTGAATTGAGGTCTATTTTTTAGGGTCTCAAAGAGGGTAAAGCACAGAGTGGGAAGGGCAACTTTCACCTTGAGGGGCAGCGGCGTGGTTGCCAGCAGCAGTGATGGCTTCTTCACTGCCGTGAATGCGAACCATGGGATTGGACCGGATGCGATGGAAGAACGAGATCTGGAAACCGGTCCACGAGAGAGTCGAAGTAGGAAGGGAACCATAGTGGCATGAGTATAGAAATTTGACTTGACTGGATTAGAAATTATGGTGGTTGGGGGTGGGAACAGCTGCAGCGAAAAGCGACATGCAGGTCACCAACCACGCCTGTGGCTCACAGAACACGAGCTCATCATCATCTCTTGGCCACAATGGGCCGCTTGGTGCTGAGAGGCTTTGATCTAATCTCGGAATATATCCTAACAAAGGGGGACTGTACTCGCTATAAGAGCAGCATACATACCACACCATACCATACCATACCATACCATACCATACCATACCTGTGGCTCGCAGAAGACGGGCTCATCGTATCTCTCAGCCACAACCGGCGTTTTGGTGCTGCTGAGAGGCTTTGAGACGTCTTTGTCATGAAATCCTGGCAACGACATACTCGCAATGGGGATAATAACTCGACAGTACCTGTGGCTCACAGAAGACAAGCTCATCGTATCTCTCAGCCACAACGGGCCGCTTCGTGCTGAGAGGTTTCGATCTAATCTTCGAAACTATTCTAACAAAGGCGGGCCATACTCGCTTTAGGAGCAGTATACCATACCTGTGGCTCACAGAAGACGAGCTCGTCGTATCTCTCAGCCACAACGGGCCGCTTGGTGCTGAGTGGCTGGTTTGGAGGGCCGCCTTCCGGGTACAGGCGAAGGTGATGGGTGCTGGCGGGGGGTACATGAGAGAGGGGAAGGGGAAGAGAGAGGGGAGGATGGAAGGAGAGGAGGGGGGGAAGGGAGAGGGAAAGGCAGCACGTTTTCTTGCCACTTGGTGCTGAGAGGCTGGTTTGGAGGGCCGCCTTCTGGGTACTGGCGCAGGTGATGGGTGCTGGAGGGAAAGGTGGGGGGGAGGGGGGGGTAGGTGGGAGGGGAGGAGCGGGGGGGGGGGGGAGAGGGGACGGCAAGAGGTTGGTTTTCCGAGTGCTGAGAGACTGGTTTAGAGGGCTGCATTTTGGGTACAGGTGCAGGTGATGACGGGTGCTGGATGGAATGAAAGGGGTAGTGCTTGGTGGAATAAACAGCGAAGTAGACTTCTGACTGGATTTAGCATGCACTGGAGAAAGCGAGTATTAGAAAAAATAAGACGGAGATGTTACAGAAAATGGTTCCCGGCGATGCTGCATTCCTTACAGAGGGAAAGGCAGCACGATTTCCATACAGTTCAGCGGGCATCTCAAAAGCGTCGGCGTGGAACACTTTGTCATGGAAATCTCGAACTTGCCCCATCTGTGCTGTGAGTCCCAACTCAAATGCACATCCAGAGCATAACACACACCAAGATTCCGATCGTACTCACAGTTCAGCGGGCATCTCAGAAGCGTCAGCGTGGAACACAGTGGTCATGGCAATCTCAAGCTCGCCCAATCCACTCTCCGACAGCACGACGGGCAGCTTCCGAGTTGACAAACTAAACAGCACACCGAGACCCATGAGTGAGTTGACTTATGAGTCGACTCAAAAGTCACCGAGTTGACAAACTAAACAGCACACCGAAACCCATGAGTGAGTTGACTTTTGAGTCGACTCAAAATTCACCGAGTTGACAAACTAAACAGCACACCGAAACCCATGAGTGAGTTGACTTTTGAGTCGACTCAAAAGTCACCGAGTTGACCAACTAAACAGCACACCGAGACCCATGAGTGAGTTGCTCACAGTTCAGCTGGCATCTCGGAAGCATCGGCGTGGAACACAATGGTCATGGCGATCTCAAACTCTCCCCACCCGCTCTCTGATAACACGAAGGGCGGCCGCTCCACAATGCGGGTCGGATTGGAGAAGCTCGGATGCAGCTGAAATACCACCTGGGGATTGAGGGAGGAAGAAAAGAAACCGTGCCGGGGATAGGGGGGGGGGGAGGAAAAAGGGGGGAAGAAGGGGGAGGAGAAGGGGGGAGGAGAGGGGAGGGGAGGGGAGGGGAGGCGGTGGAGGTGGGTGAGTTATACAGGGGGGATGCAAGTTGGAGGTTAAAAAAATTACCAGGGTGGAAGCCCCTCACAACACAAACCACCTTCCTCAGTATTCACCCCTTTCACAGTAGTAACCAACATAGCACGCCTTCCCCACAGCCCTCCCTCGCAATAACCCACCTTCTTCACCACGCTACCCAGGTCTCCATTGTCAGCCGCCCGCACATACACCGTCCACTTGTGCGTGGCGTTCCTGGTGGTGAGGGAGGGGGGAGGGGGGAGGGGAGAGAGGGGGAGGGGAAGAGGGGGGCCGGGTGGGGGGGGGAGAGGGGATAGAGATGGAGTGAAACCAGAGGAATTCTTGGCTCGATCATACAAGGTCCACTTGCACATGGCATTCCTAATGGTGGGGGGGGTGGTGGTAGAGAGATAGAGAGAAAACAACAGGAGCTTCTTGACACGACCCTCACGTGTGGTGTGTGGCCTGGATGTAACCGTTTACTTGTGAGAGCGGTCTTTGGTGGTGGCGATGGTGTGGTGGAGAGAAAGGTAATGAAACAACCTGCTCAGGCATGGGTTTCCCATGCACATATGCAAGCACAACTTGTTGAGGCTGGAAGATGGAAAGATAGATGGGATCTTACTCGTCTGCCTTCTTCCCCAGCCAAAAGGCGCAGCTGCCAAACACAATTGGCAGCACCACCTCCACGTCCCGAGCCCTCTGCGAAAAATGAATTCAGGCGCAAAAAAAAAAAAGGCCGATCATCCAGGCGCATGTGTGACTGACACTGATCTGCTCAATCCCAAACCGCCTATAGTCGTATCAGCGTAACACGTAATTCTCACCGGCTTATCGTCAGGTCGCATAAGTTTGCCCTTCTGCAGCCGCTGGATCTGACTCACGTCCGTCTGCTCGATCCCAAAGCGCTTCCCCACTACCGCTTGTGGCAGCTTCCCTCTCAGCGCCACTATTTCGTTGATCTGTGGCATGGGAAAGGGAGGAAGGTGAATGCGCGAAAGGGAAAGGACATAGCGGTTGAAGGTGACTCTTACGCAACTAGGTGTGGACGTCCAGAGGGAAGGTTGTGACGTGTTTAGAGCAGCTGGCGGAAAGGTGGGGGTGGAGGAAGCGGGAGGACGCGGGAGGACGCGGGAGGACTTGAAATAAGACACTGCAGACCCACCCTAGCGACACAGGCCGCTTGGATATCAGTGGCTTACAGAAGCACAGCCATGGGTACGGCTCAAACCACCATAAAACGCATACCTCCTCGGGCGTGAGGTACACGAGTCGCTTCTTCAAACATCAGTGGCCTAAGGAAGCACAGCCATCACACCTCCGTCAAAAGCATCACAGAGTCACGCGAGGCCCGAAACGCATACCTCCTCAGGCGTGAGGTCCACCAGTCGCTTCTTCCGCTTAGACATGCCCTCTCCCCCTCTGCCCCACCCTCCGCCACGCCCTGCCCTTCCCGCGCCCCCTCCTCCGCGTTCTCCCGGGGGACCTTCCGCTCCTGTTCCTGAACCTTGCATGCTTCGTCGACTGGAGGGAACTGGCGGGAGAGAGGGCGTTCGCCGTGATACCTATCGACTACTTCCTTAAATGCAGGTCAACGAAAGGACTAGTGTCAGTTGAGTCGCAGCCTGAGTCGGCCTAATCTAGCGAAAGTGGTAAGTGCAGCGAAGCGCAACGTAGAATCCGTAAGCTTTCCAAAATCGTCTGGCGGCATAGTCTGCTAAGAAAGCCATAAGTATGCTTCAGATTGAGCGAGCAACGTGTATACCTTGCTTCACCGGAATGCCCATGGACCACTTTGACACAGTGAGCTTGTAAGGTACATATAGCCTCTGGCGACGTAGAACAGGGTTACCGTCCTTGTCGAGGGATGAGGGTGATTCGCCGATGACCGAATGGGACGGCGAATCGTGCTGACATCCCTATCAATGAGCATTCATTGTCGGGTGGGCGTCTACTTTGCGCCTATCCGCAATTTTTGGAGCCGAAAGGCGCAAACCCCCAAGCAAGGGGGGTTGCCACACTGGTCAAATACAGCTAGTGTACATCAAATGCAAGCCATCTTAAACTTAGTACGGAACAGAAGTAAAGCATTAGAGGCTTCGGGCTTTAATTCGTTGAATATGCAAGAAGAAAACCGCAACTCAATCTCAGACAGACGAGCAGTTAAAGCCGTTGACCCAAAACGTACAAGATTAATAAACATGATAGGGGCAAAAAGTTGGACACGGCAGCGCGCAGGGGCGTAGGGCAGTGGTGCGAGGTGGCGAGTGGTTTTCGCCAATGAGCGAGCGTCGCAACACTATGCGCGACAAAAACACTCTTGACGAAACCTCATGAACCAATCAGGTCGCAAAAAAACCGAGCACGCAATGTCAAACATAAGTATAACTCATGTTTGTATAGACTGTATAGGGTCGCCTCTTAGAGGGTACAACACTCTTAGGTATATACCCTTGTACTCTCTCTTTATTCAACAATTCTTCAGTTCTAAGATGGTATCAGCAGTAGGTAGCTCCCACCGCCCCCCCCCACGCTTCCGCCCTAGGATCTACCCCCGTGCGTCGCGCCCCCTAGGCCCCGTCGCGTCACCTAGGACCAGTCGCGCCCCCCCCCTGGGCCCGTCGCGCCCCCCTGGGCCCCGTCGCGTCACCTAGGACCAGTCGCGCCCCCTGGGCCCCGTCGCGCCCCCTGGGCCCCGTCACGCTTCCCTGGGCCCCGTCGCGCCCCCTGGGCCCCGTCACGCTCCCCTGGGCCCCGTCGCGCCCCCTGGGCCCCGTCACGCTCCCCTGGGCCCCGTCACGCTCTCCTGGGCCCGTCGCGCCCCCTAGCACCCGTCACGCCCCTCCTGGGCCCCCCGTTGGTGCCTCCTGGCCCTGTCGCGCGACTCCTAGCCTGTCGCGCCTTTCCTAGCCCGTCGCGCTTCCTAGTCCGTCGCTCCCAGCCGGCCCCGCGACCGTCCCAGCCGGCCCCGCGACCGTCCCAGCCGGCCCCGCGACCGTCCCAGCCGGCCCCGCGACCGTCCCAGCCGGCCCCGCGCCCGTCCCAGCCGGCCCCGCGACCGTCCCTGCCGGCCCCGCGACCGTCCCAGCCGGCGCCGCGACCGTCCCAGCCGGCCCCGCGATCGTCCCAGCCGGCCCCGCGCCCGTCCCAGCCGGCCCCTCGTGCCCGTCCAGGCCGCCCCTGCACCTGTCCCAGCCGGCCCCGGGCCCGTTCCAGCCGGCCCCGCGCCCGTCCAAGCCGGCCCCGCGACCGTCCCAGCAGACCCCGCGACCGTCCCAGCCGGCCCCGCGATCGTCCCAGCCGGCCCCGCGACCGTCCCAGCCGGCCCCTCATGCCCGTCCAGGCCGCCCCTGCACCCGTCCCAGCCGGCCCCGCGCCTGTCCCAGCAGGCCCCGCGCCCGTCCCAGCCGGCCCCGCGCCTGTCCCAGCCAGCCCCGCGCCCGTTCCAGCCGGCCCCGCGCCCGTCCCTGCCGGTCCCGCGCCCGTCCGAGCCGGCTCCCGCGCTTGTCCCGGCCGGCCCCGCGTCGACTTCCGGCCCTTCCTCGCCGGCCCTACGACCGTCCGATCTGCACTCTCCCTGGTACGGTTCTCCACCACCTTTCACCGCAGTGTACCGCACTGCACTGCACAGCACCCCCCTGCACTGCCCTGCATCGCACTGCCTCGCCTTGCACCGCCCTGCTCTGCACTGCACCGCACTGTACAGTCCTGCACTGCCCCTGATGGCGGCGGAGCTTCGCTTCGACGCTGAAGGCCAGCCTCTGGAGTTCGAGGCGTGGCTTGCCGACCTCCGGCGTCAACTCACTGGCCAGCGGCAGGATGGTGAACCGCTTTCCGCACACCTTGACGGTACGCTCCCTTGCCCAGGCCCCCCTGCTGTTCTGCCCGCTGACTCCGCACCCACTGAGCGCGAGTCTACTGCTGCCACTGCCCGTGCGCACTCTGTCTGGCTTTCTCGAGATGCTGTCGCTCAGCTTGCCATTAGCAATGCCCTTCCCCCGTCCGAGCGCCCCCGCTTTAGGTCCCTCACTACTGCCCAGGCTTACTTAGATGCTGTCATCAAGCGCTATTCCACCCCTCCAGCTGCCTCGGTGGGTCGCCTGATCCTCCCGATGCTCTTTCCTGACCTTGCGTCTTTCCCCACTGTCTCTGACCTCGCTGCCCACCTGCGCTCGATAGATGAGACCTGGCGCGCTGCCTGCACTGACGCACAGCTTAGAGCCCACCAGCCGCCCATTACCTCTACCCTTTACTTGCTTGCCACCCGCCTCCCTGACCGCTTTGCTGTCGCCCGCGACCGCTTCCTTAGCATTCACCCCGCAGACCTCACCCTCACTGACTTTTTAGACACCCTGACTGTGATTGAGACCCGCCACCGCTCCATCGCCCAGGCGAGCGGTACCGTGCCGGTCCCAATCTTTCAGGGTTGTGCCCCCGCTCAGTGTACTTTTTCCGACGGCTCTGCCGCTGTGGCTGAGACTGCTGCTGCAGCACAGTTTCGTTCGGGGAAGAGCCGCCGCCCCAAGGTTGGGCGCGGCGGAGGAGGCGGGGGTGCGGGAGGGGGTGGTGGTGGAGTCGGGTCGTCTGGTGCTGGAGCGGACGAGGGGACCCTGCCCAGTCCAGCTGAGCCGCCCCCCCTGCAGTCGCAGCAGCAGCAGCAGCCGCAGCAGCCGCCGTAGTCGCAGCAGCCGCAGCCTTCGCAGCAGCCGCAGCAGCAGCCGCAGACGAGGCAGACGAGTGTCCTCCCGCCCGGGTGGCCCGGCGCTGGCGGTGGTCGGGCGCGTGATGGTGTGCCGAGTGGTGATTCTGGAGACGTGCATTGTCAGTACCAGATCCAGACCGGTCCTCGCCGCGGCTTCGTTTGCGGTAAGATCGGTCACTCCACTCCCCGCTGTTTTCGTTGCCTGGACGACCTGTTTCGTCAGCGCTTCGGCCCGTCGCCAGACCTCCCGGACTGGCACAGTTTGCTTAGTCGTAAGATTCAGATTTTTGACATGGACATGGATGCCATTGTTTCTGCTCTGCATGTGATGTATGCTGATGACTCTAGTGTGCTTCCCGCTTATTACTCACTGTCGGCTAGTGTAGGTGTGCCTAGCTTAGCCTCCCCTGCTGCGTCAGGCGTAGGATCCCCTGCTTTGTGTAGTCTTGGTGCTTCCGCCGTCGTTCCGTCGCTAGACGCCTCTGCTTCGCTTTCCTTCACCTTGGACTCTGGCGCTTCCCGGTGTTTCTTCCGCGACTTCACCACACTGACGCCGCTTCCTGTTCCTGCTGCCGTTTCTCTTGCTGACCCCTTCGGCGGTCTGGTAGTCGCCCACAGTTCCACCACCCTTCCCTGTCCGGCGGTTCCTTCGGGCACTCTCACAGGTCTGCATATCCCCTCGTTCTCCAGGAACCTAGTTGGTGTCGGCTGCCTCCAGGACCTTGGCGTCACCACTACATTCCCTGGTCACGAGCGGTATGCTGTCTGTAACGAGGCCGCCACGGGTGCCCCCCTCTCCACGTTCCCCCGGGACCCGGTGTCCGGCCTGTTCACTCTGAACACCGTGACCCCCCCGGCTGGGGCGCTCCCTCAGGTGGCTGCGTCTTTCCAAGTTGCTGCTGCCTGCTCCTGTCGGTCCCTCACTCACCCGACTCTCCTTTGACTACCACCGCCTAGGTCACCCTCCGCCCCCGCGTCTGCGTCACATGCCCCAGCACGGTCTCGTCCTTGGTCTCCCTGGCTCGTTCCCCGCTTTTCCCTCCTCCTCGCCCCCCCTTGCACGCCGTATGTCGAGGGTCGGCTTTGCCGTGCCCCTTACTCCTCCTCGTTTCCCCCTACCGCCGCGCCGCTGCAGACCCTGCACATGGACATCTGGGGCCCCGCCCCCGTCCATGGGCCGCGTCGAGAGCGCTACTTCCTCGTGCTTGTCGACGACTTCACTCGCTACACCACAGTCTTTCCCCTGGAGCAAAAGGCCGACGTGCCTGACGCTCTCATCCCCTGGCTTGTCTCTGCCCATGTCCACCGAGGTCTCCCTGAATTGCGTCTTCACTCCGACCGTGGTGGCGAGTTTGCCTCAGGTGTCCTTGGTCGCTTTTGTCGTGCGGAGGGCATCACCCAGACGTTCACCCTGCCGGACTCCCCACAGCAGAATGGGGTCGCTGTCCGGCGCATCGGCTTGGTCATGGAGGTTGCTCGCACCTCCATGATCCATGCCGATGCACCCCATTTTCTGTGGTCGTTCTCCGAGTGCTACGCTTCTCACCAGCTTAACTTGTGGGCGCACCCTCAGCAGCCGCAGGTTTCGCCGACTCGTCTTTGGACTGGGTCTCCTGGTGACGCGTCTGCGTTCCACGTCTGGGGCTGCCTTGCTCACGTCCGTGCCTCCGGCACGGACAAGCTCACTGCCCGCACCCTTCCCTGCGTCTTCCTCGGCTTTCCCCTTGACGCGTCCGACTGGCACTTTTACCACCCGCCGTCTCACCGCTTCTTTCACTCTCGCGACGTCACCTTTGACGAGTCCGTCTCCTACTACCGTCGCTTCCCCCACCGCGGTCCCCCGGTTACCCCCCCCCTGTTCCTGGTCACTCCTTCCCCGATAGTCCCTGCCCCTCCCCCTCCTCCTCCCCGTCCTGCCCCCTCTGGTGTGTCCCACGTCACCCCCCTTCCGTCGGTGTACCCGGTTGAGGAGTCTTCTGACTCTGGTGGCCCTGCTGCGCAGTCCTCGCCGGCCGCCCCTCCCCCGGCGTCCCCTCCCCAGTCCCCTCCTCCACCGCCTCTGCCGCCGCCGCCGCCGCCGTCGCAGCACCCGTTCGTTGACTCTGGGGGTGCTAGTCCCGGTAGCTCTGGGGGTGGATCTTCTGGGGGTGCTTGTGTGGAGTGTGCTGG